AGGCCGCGCATTTTAAGACTTTACTTTGTCCCATCGCGGATAAAAGCCTGGGAGTCGAGTTGGAAATTCGATTCATTAATCTGACCGCCGCGAAACGACCGCGAAATCGATCGAGAACGCCGCCGCGGAAATTGGGACGGCCGTCGGCAGAAGAGAAGGAGGAAGAAGGTGAGAAAAAAAGAATAAAAAAACAGAAAGAGAGACCTTCCTCTCTCGCGACTTTATTCCACCTAACTTTGCCCTGCCGGTTTACGACTCCCTGAATACAGCCGGCTAATTAACGGCGCTTCCTTAGCGCGGCGAGCTGGGAGTAGCCAATTTCATTTCCGTTTCTCCCTCGGTTTTATTTTTCCCCCTCGGTTAAGCGGTCTCGCTCCCGTAATTCAGGGTTACCGCGCGAATGTCTCTGCCGTATTCTGGTGCTACCCTCCCGCGCTGCGCTGCACCCCCTCGTCCTCGAGAAAATTCATGCACTTTTCAATTTCGCCGAGCCGCCTGGACTTACGTTTCGCGAAAGGATCTCGGTCCTCTTTATCTTTTTTTAGGGGAAGACCTCCCTCTCTGTTACGTCGTGTTTCCTGCAAAACTATTAATCTACTGGGCGCATGGAAACCGGCACACACGTGCCTACAATACGAGGGGCTGGTCACTCTCGATTTCAATGGACCAATGATTTCCAAAAGAAATCGATTTCTAACGATTGCCTATAGGATTTCCGCGATTTCAAAATGTATACGATTACCTGTGATTCCTCATGAATTCGCATGATTCTTAATGAATTCTAATGAATTTGACATTTCAAAATCAATGATTTCTAGATTATAACAAACAGAAAATTAATTAATTAATTATTATTATTATTTATTAAATTAATATTATTAAATTAAAATTAATAAATTTATTATTTTTTATTTGCTTAATAGTTTTTATTGCAAGTAGGGCTTGCCTTGCTTACAAACGGCTATCGCCGGAAGACCTGTAATAATTGTTAATTTAAGAGTTAAAAATATGTTTAAATAGACAGTTAAATACGTTTATATAACTATGTATATCCATTGGTACAGGTATCAGCTTTTTATTTGATTTTAATTCATACCAATAACACAATACACCAATCTCTTTGATATTGCCTTTTATTTCTGCGTAAGAACTAGAATATTCATGACTTTTTAATGTTTGTCCTTCTAAATAGGCAAAGCTCAAAATCATACCAACAAAGCACTTAGTACTATTACATTTTCTAAATAGACATCAATCACCAATATTAATTTCCTCGCATTTTTTAAAGAAAACCTGTTTCTCATTACATTTATCGCCATTTATTTGAATTTTTTTTTTATTCTTTGTCAATTCCGAATCTCGAACCCTTTGTAACCGATCACTACTTAAGTTAAACGAATTTTTATTTAATAGCCAACAGTTCATTATTCAATTGATCTCTTACAACAACAAATGGACTCTGTGTATAAAGTTGAGTTTTGAATTTATTATAACTTTTTAATTCTAGACGACCTTTAGAAGGAATGGTCAAATTCTCTAATAATTCTTGTTTACTTTCTTCTGAACTTTCGTCTGTACGTGAATCTGATTTTTTTATTACATTTTCCAAATTTATTTCCCCTACGTCTCTCTCATCGTCATTGTTACATTGGGTGTCGAGCTCGGTGTCGATTGTTTCTTATTTCGGCTTTGCTCGGTCGCGCTGTGCTCAGCAGCGAGCCGTAATATATATTCAACGAAAGAACATCCCGCCTCTGCGCATAAGGGAAAAACATGACGCTCAACTTAGTACCGTGGCATAGAGAGGATGAAACCTGGGGGCCTATTACGTATTTTTTCACGAAACAAAAATACGAAAAGTGAATAGATTTACTAGATTTCGACCAATGAAATCGTAGATACTCTTATAGTATATACATATTATAATAGCTTGAAAACATTTGTGATTTCAAGCGATTTCCGAATTTGTGTGATTTCGTAACAATTTCCTATAATTTCACATGATTCCTCAATGCAAAGAGAAATCACTTGATTTCCAGTAATTCTCCGCGATTTCCTATGCAATTTCGAATCAAGTGGTTCAATGATTTCCGAAGTGACCAGCCCCTCGCTACAATACCTACGTGACGTACCGTAAGAGAGGGTAGTCAATTTTCGTAAATTTCGCTATTCATTGTCGGAGCTTTTTATATAAGTCTCTGTGTGATTGCTAATACCGCAATTTGTCCGCTGTACCGGATTCGCGAACTGAATGGAGGCCGATTCCGTCTCTTGATTTGATTCAATTATATTCGCCGCTAGACGCGGCGCGTGCGGATGGACCAGCGTTCATTAACGCAACAAACACAACCCTTCAATGTATATTAATCAAACATGTATCGCTCGGCGTATTGTGTTACTTTTCGACAATCCTGAATTATTCTTCAATTAGCTCGCGGGAATTAATTCTCGAAATGAAGACCGCCCGGACGTTTTACAAATGCCGCAAAATCTCAAGTGTCAAGCGGGATTCGCGCAAAAACGGTAATTTTCCGGCTTTGTCAGTGTCGGCTGCGAGCATTTCCAAACTTTGTCAATGTTGTCGTCTAACCGATCGTGTCCGTTGTGGCCGAAGCGACGGTTTTGCGCGGCGCGGGGGAAACGCGGGCCTGCAGTTTAACGAGCTGGTTGAATTGATGTATTCTCAGCTCGGTTTTAATTAATCGGAGTGATGTTTCAATCGGGTGACAGGTAAATCATGGGCGAAGCGTTGGCGAGAGGGAGAGAGAAAGAGAGAAAGAGAGAAATCGGACAAGGTGGCGCGAAAAAACGAAAGAGAGGCGGAGAATAGAGGAAGTGGCCTGGCGTCCGTGTAGGCGAGTCTGACGGCCGTGGAGAGTATGAGGTTTCCCTCGTTAAGGGTCGTAAATAATGGCGATGGCGACGATAACGAGGCAATTTACCGGCACGCTCTTGCGCACGTTTTGGCTTCGACGTTCGTCCCCGGCGATTTGAATCTTTCGCGAGTTTGCGATCTTCACGCGTACGCGGCACACTCGCGTGGCGCGCGCGAGCGGATAGCGCGCACCGCGCTGGTGGATGAAGGACCTCGATCGATCGGCGAGTGAATTATAATAGCGGGACACGCGACGTACCGCTATTTTATCGCCCGCCCGAGACTGCGGAAATCAGAATAAAAATCCAATCGATGCGTTTCCGAAGTTTTTCGACAAATATGTACCCTGGTGTAAGAGACGTGAAATTCAAAATTTTTCTCCTCTTAGAATCGCGGAAAGTGTTATAACGAGAGAGACAGAGCGGGGTTTTGATCAGGGGAAATGAAATTTCGCCGCATATTGCTTCTCGATGATTTCGACGCGAGATAAAATATCGGAATGTGGAAATTTTTGGTTTTATATAGGGCCGCGAAAGTGCTGCAGTAAAATTCGAACGGCGAGCTTGAATTTTATATTAAGCGTTTTCGTAAATCCGTAAGATCGCGAGCAGACAAGACGATTAGATATGAATTATTCCGGGCGTACGACCCGGATTCGGAGTCGGTCCTTTCGAAACGGGAAGACCTCAATTTTCCGGCTTCGATTATTCGAGTGTATGTGAATTTGTGGTCTTATAACAAATGTAACCGCGCTGTGCGAGGCCATATGGTCATGGTATATACGGATATTTCGCTCACTAATGGTTTGCCCGCTCGTTTATACTCCTTGGAGCGTAGCACCCAATTTCTCAGAAAGTGTAGAACAGATATGAACAATTTAAGTTTTAAAATGATTGAAGGTGTTGAGAAAAGAGTTCCAGGTGTTAACCCAGTGGAGAGAGATCCATGCAATATTAAACACCGCGAAGAACTTGTACTTTCTTAAGTAGACTGGAAGCGCCATGTTTTAATGAAAAATGGATCCTCTCACTCTCATTAATATGACTATCGTCGAAATTAATTAAAGCGCAAAAAATCCAGGTTTTACACTGCATGGTTTAATGCACGCGAGGAAATGTTTAGAAAAGATGAAAGAAAAATATGTGAAAAAGTATGGCTCGCGAAATGACCGATTTCGCGAGTATTAACTCTGAAGCATGGTAGCACAAAAACATGCTGTAACTATAAATATGCTGTAGCAACACGATAACTCCCCATCAAATCCATTGAGAACGTCTATAAAAGGAGATAAAAATATTTTTTTCGTGTTCCTTTACAAGAAATACTCTTTGTGCAATATATCAGTTATTAATTCTTCCTCGTGCAAAATCTGTATCTCGGAGAATCGATGGATTCATCTGGCTGTGCACACCGAAGGAATTAGTTTGACGATCGACGATACCATTTTGGCGGAAACATAGCCGCACAAACGCCAGTCGGTTATTTCGCGAGGCGAGTTGCGTGGGTGACGTCTGCCTCCGGCAGCCTCGTTGTTGCGGAACAGAAAGCGAAAGACGGAGTCAAAAGAGGAAGTAAGAGAGAGAGAAAGAGAGAGAGAGGGGGGAGGAAGGGGAGGGAAAGAGAATTCGTTTCGCACACCAAGCAGCCTCTTCAGGCAAGCTTTCGCTCGTGCCCTTCTCGTTCTCGTATGTGAGGAAGGACAAGCAGGAGCGAAGGGTGGCGTGTGTGAGATGTGGTGGGTGCCGAAGGCGCAGCGGCAGCCGCGAGGATATGGAGCACGAGTCGGCGGCGGCGGCGGCGGCCGGAGAAAAGATGCTGCGCGTGTACGAGGAAGAAGCAGGATAGAAGGCTCCCGGTGTGGGGGCGGCAGAAGCGGCAAAAGGGGTTGCAGGAGAGGATAAACGAGAGAGAAAACAGGATAGGAAGAGAGAGAAGGAGAGAGAGAGAGAGGGAGAGGAAAGCCGGAACGACCCGGGGGTTGCCGTGGTGCTATCGACCGGGCCGCTGGTCGGAATCAAACCAGGCGTCGGCGCCGTGGCTGTCCCGGCTTCCTCGAGTGCCGGACCATCCTCCACTTCCACCTCCATCACCACCACTGCCATCGCCGCCGCCGCCGCCGGCACCACCATCACCACCACCAGCGGCAAGAGCAGCAGGCACCAGCACCGCCACCTCCGCGGAGGTCGCACGGCTGCTGGCCCTCGGCGCGTTAGTAGTGCCCGGGACAGACAGTCGATCGCGCACACGAAGGGTGCGGGTCGTTCTGGGGGTTGGCTTGTGGGTACGGATTTGGTCAGTCGGCTGATTTTGTTGGTCTCGTCGGCAGTCTCTCGCAATTCGTATGCAGACTGCTCGCGGCGAATCGTCGTCGCGTCCGTCGCGTTGCGATTCAACAGCTGGCGAGAAGGTGCTCAGACGGAGAGTATGCCTGAGGCCTGAGAGGCGGCAAACATCTAGCGTCCGCTTTATCACGGTTTGACGGCGCTTCGGGCGATCTGGACCGCGCTCACGAATCTGTAATAATCAGCATTGTTCTCGAGAGCGTGGAAACGTCAAACCCCGGACTCCTAACGTGATGCGAGCCGCGTCGAATGGATCGAAGCGTTACGTGTTGGTGCGTGTGGTGCCGGAGCGATAGGTTCGAAATTATCTGGACCCGAAAGTTATCTGACCGAGATTATTGAGTGAACACCATTATACACTATGTGATACGAGAAGACGACCCTAGATAAGAAGTTGGATGTTTTTCGGTGCGTTCCATACATTTTTCAAGATTATAAATACAAATGCAATGTTCCTGGTAGATCAGCTAGATGATTAAGTTGAACGAATGACATTGGCTCAGTAAGAACGTATTCTGTACGGATAACTGTATCAAGTTGCTTTCGTAGACTTTACTTTTCTGATTATTCAAGAAATCTGAAACATATGGCGTCGAGACATCATCGATGATAGCTCCCGAGATTTGAAGAAATCCGCACATCATTTTCGATCAATATTCGAGTTTGTCGCGTACATATATATTACAAGGAGTAGTAAAATTATGTCAACAACGTATAATAATTGCGTCATAAACTTTCGTCGTTACTATCGCAAAAATTAGATCATAATTCTTAATATATTCAGATTTTATTGACTGCTTTTTCGAAGATCAAATATTCAGAAATGATTAAATATGTATTAAATAAAGTGTCTTTATAAATATTAATTTATAAAGAAATGCAAATGATTAATATTTGCATATAATTAATATTTAAATAATTTATATTTACTAATTCACTCCTACGTTTACTTTATGTAATTTTTAATATATTCTTGTTATTTATTTTAATCTTTTGTTTAACCACTTTTTTCCACACATAATCATAATAGCTCTTGGTCTTATATTCTTTTTATTATAAAATGTGCATAAATATATCAAGCTATAGATAAAGTTAAATGTTAAAATATAGATAGATACTCAACAGAATTTTTCATCAGACGTAATAATTGATGTGTAAAATAATATTAAATTATTTTAATCAACTTTAAACAATTAGACTTTTATTTCATCGACTACATTTGGCAAATAATCATCGTGACGATTCGACCATTGGTTTTGGTCCGATTAATATGATTAATCAATGGTCATCAAAACCAACGGTCGAATCGTCACGATGATTATTTGCCAATTGTGGTCGATGAAATAAAAATCTAATTGTTTATTATATTGTTGGCGAATCACAAATGTACTTTCGGTTTATTTAAACATTTTATTATGCACAAAACTTAAAATAAATTGACGATAAATTCAGCGAGAAAATCGCATTTTGAAATGGTACATTTTTAAAACATAGAATCTCTAATCTTGGAAGACAGTATATTGTCACTGAAAATATTTTTGTCGCTTTCTTTTTATTCCCAACGCGTATTTAATATTCTCGTCCGTATTTCGCGTCAATTAAAATTATTACATAAAGATAGAGTGTAATATAGAGGAAAGAATTGAGAGAGGGAACGATTGTGAGGCTAATCCTCAATTTCGAAGATTGGGGGGACTCGTAATTTTGCAAAATGGATCACCATCAATTCTCATTGACTCATCCATTTCTTACAGGACGCGCTCTCGTTGATCCGTGCAAAAATGTCACGCCGGCACTCATGCAATTTCCGCGATAATATATCGGCGTTTTTCGCGAGGGATCCGTTCTTCCTTTCACGTTGTCGTTGCCGCCTCGATAATTCCTCATGGATTCTTCCCCGTAAATCCGGAAACTTCGAACTTATCGCTCCCTTCGGTGAATTATTAATCGTCCAGTCATCCCCCCTCTCTCTCCCCCCCTCCCCCGCAATTAGCGCGAGCCCCGGAATTTAATTTCGCTCGCCAGATTGTCGCGCTTATGATTCGGCATTGGCATCTCGTTTTTGCTTGTCCGCTTGAATGCCGCGGAATAGGAGCATAATCCGATGATGGTTCGCTCCTATTTTCGAACTTGAGTCCACGTCGGCATCGCGCAGAGCTCCGTCGACGAAAAACCCCCGGGGAATCCGATCTGCAAAGTACTTAGAAGACAGTGTCAGACTAACTCGAGAATCGGGAATACTTTGTACTATACATCCGACACGTTCGCTTTGATTGAGTGCGAGGAAAAAATTTTACATTTGCTGTAAACCTGCGAATTAACTGCGTCAAAACGGTATTGAATTAATATCAAGCTTTGTTCAACATTGAAATTACAGGTATAATTAGCATTTGAACTTTCAAATAGCCATTTACGTGGTGCGCCACGTTTTATTTACATTTAAACGAACTTTGCTTTCATAATTCTGAAGTTTCTTTTTACTAATAGACATGAATAGCATTTATTTATAAATAACATGGAAAATATTATGATGGCAGTTACGATTTATATTTTTCTCTTTGACGGACGGGCCTCTGTATTTCTTTAAACTAATAAAAGGCTAAATGGACGTTAGGAAGACATTATAAGGATAATTATAATCTTCAATTTTAACTTTCAGTACATTTACCTCTCGTTTGTTTCGCGCAATTATAGTAATACTTATTCGTCATTGTCAAGAAAGTAAATGGTTCTTACTTCGACGCGTTCACCGGAAAAGAAGTTTCAGAAAATATAAAAGTAGCGAGCGCAAGAAAATGTCTGCGTTTATATGGCTTGTCTTAACAATTGCACGCTCGACGAAGTACGAGACTATTACGACGTTTCGCCACGTAGGTGGGCCTTCGCGGAAAAATAGCCCGCTATTTCGCCCCGCGTTTGGAAAAAGGGCATCATAACGGGAGAACGTAACCCAAACTTTGTGATAATTTAAACGCAGGCCGCATTCTCTCCCCTGGGGGGGCAGGGGGAAGGTTGAAATGTTGCTAAAGTCGTAACGCCGGGTGTACCAAGGGGCAGGGAGTGTAGTTTATATCAAGTTAGAAATTGGAAATTCTCGCATAACCACAGTTGAATGCTATCAGATTTCGCGTTACTCGAGCAGCTGGAGCAACTCATTCGAATCAAAACTACATCGTCATTGCAATTAATTAGATTTAGTCGGGCGACCGGCCGAGTGCGATTCGATTTTTCATTACGGGTCCCGCAATGTACGTTAATTATTGATTTAGTGAACGTAAATTTCAAGTCCGGCGTCGCTGAATTCTCGAAAATTCGATCCAAAGGGTCGATGCATACATCTGCATATTAATACGCAATGGAAACGGCTCAAATTTGCGCTATTACCACAATGGGGTCAGTTTTCGCCGCAGTAATATATGGAAATATATATTATCGCAGATTGGAGCGCAAAATATCTACTTCATTTCTCATCATTTTACAACAAATAGAAAAAAAGAATGGTTTCTGAAAAATAAATTATGGTAGCACCAATAACAAAAATCAATAAACTGAAAATCGGACATTCTGTTTACTAGATGCAGATTTGTTTGCCAGGGAATACATACAGTCAAAAACATGCATATTTTTAGAATAGAATAACCGCTACAATAAAAATAAATAATTAGAAAATATGATGGAGGATAAAAGAATCCTTGTTTGCCGAACCGCAACGGGATTAAGACAGGAGTGGGAAGGCAACGACGTTGGGGGTACACACGCTTCACGCACGATTGTCTCCTCGAAAATATATCGAGCATACATTTTTCCTGTTCACTGAGTAGAGAGTAGCAATTTTCGCGCCATTTGTCCTCGGGCACGAGAAACATCTGTCCGCTTGAGGTTTCGTAGAATTTTGAATTGTCCAGGTGGTGGGACGATCTTCCTGGAGTTTATAAATTTATTATACCGGTGCGACTGCCATCGAGTTAGTCGAACGTGACGTGAAATTCATTTCCAGAGAAGCCGCGTTAACGAAGCGCTCTTTATACGTTGTTGCAGCGTGTTGCAGCGCGCGACGTGGTGAAAGCAGGTGGTTCCTGTGGTTCCCGGCGAGACCAAGAAACGGATACGCGAGGTCCGAAGAATCGTCGTCGAGCGATTCTCCTTTCTCGGGACGAGTCGTAGCACGTACGTCGAAAACGTTGAGGATTCCACGCGAGTCGGCGTCGGCGACTCCGAGGGCGGTGAATCGAACCATCGTACCCCGGGCGCCGATGATTCCATCAAGCTCATTCACTGCCGACGATTCGAGTTCATCGATCGTCATCGGAGCGTCGTGTATACGCGCGTGCCGCGCGGCAACGACGATCGGTCGCCAGATTGGCAGCTCAGCGTCAACGCGGGCAACGCATGCACCTGAGAATGGAAGTGAGAGTTTGCTCGGAGCCGATCAGCAGCAGCAGCAGAAGCAGAAGCAGCAGCAGCAGCAGCGCGATAGTAGTACCGAGTCGCTATTCTAAATTCGAGACGGCGGACAGGGAGCGAAAGCCGCTTGGAGGGCGCGGGACTGGAGGTGCAGGCGGCAAGCCGTACCGGAAGCTGTGGGAGTGGGTGGACGTCGGCGACGGGCTAAGGGTGGTGGCGGCGGTGGTAGGGCAAAAAGGGGCGCAGGAGGGCGGAAAGAGGCGCAAAAAATTGCCAACGGCGGCGGCGAGGACGGAGGAGCGAAGGACAGGCAAGAAGGCAGCGGCGGCAGCGGCGGCGAACGGAAAAGGAAAGCGGAAATCGGAAGCGGAAGAAGAAAGGGGTCGTCCATCGGCAGGAGGGCCCCACAGATGCGGGGCCCGCAGGGGCGGCCAGTCCGCGGCGGCGTGACGCGATGCGGACGTCCTCCTCCTCTTTGCCGAGGAAGAGGAAGAGGAAAGACCTCTCGCCTCCCAACACCGTCCTTCTCACCAGCGATTGGCGATCGTCAGTTAAACATGTCCTCCGACAGCAGGGTTCTCCGCGGCTCGATATTATCGTGTCGTATCGACCGCGGCACGCGGTTCTCCACCGGGGACGAGATGTCTCCTCGGTGTGTCGTGAGGTTCCTAGGAAGCTGGGGAGTCGCCAAACAAGCGCGATTTCCGACGAACGATGCTGGGAACGGGGAAAGCGGAAGAGAGGCAAATGCGACAAGGGGAGCGACGACGAAGGAGATAAACGAGAGAGGCGACGACGAAATGCGAAGGATATCGCGAGTAAAGGGACCCTTCGAATGGTCCCGTCCGACGGCGGAATTGCCAAGAGCGTCTTCCTGCTGGCGCTTCTCTGCGCTCAGTGCTGCCTGGCAGGTACCGAGGCGCTGGCCGGCACTCAAAAGTACAGTACAAGAACGGTCAAGACGCGATACGGCATGCTGCGCGGTATCGAGGCCCGATCGTCAACGTCCGTTGAAACTTATTACGGCGTGCCGTACGCAACGCCGCCGCTTGGCGCGTTGCGTTACATGCCGCCGGTCACCCCGACACCCTGGCGCGGCATCCGACTCGCCGACACCATGCCGCCGGCCTGTCCGCAGCGGCCGCCGGTACCGGACGAGAGCCTGCCGCGACAGAGGCAGGCCTACCTCAAGAGGCTGGTGCCCATGCTGGTCAACCAGAGCGAAGACTGCCTGTATCTGAACCTCTATGTGCCCAAAGCTCCTCACGGTAAGTCGACGTTAATAAGGCGATATTATTTCAAAAAATGGTCTTTTATTGAAGAAAAAATATATTGCTTGATAGAATAAAAAATATGTTTTAAAGCATTTTATTGTTAATCGTTGTTCTAGGAAGGACGAAATGGAAGAAATATTCCATTTTTGTATAAGTAGATTTCATTATAAATATTCTTTTTTATATCAATTATACATATATATTGCTGCTTTCGAGATTCCTTGTGCTTTGTAGAAAGTAAAATTTCTTTGCAGCCCTTTAAAAGGTAGGAAACAGCTATCAATGGTCCCATGATAAAAAATGCAATAAATTAATGATTATTAGATAAAAAGACGCGAAAATTAATGGTTAAAAAACCGTGAAAATATTTCTGATTGAAAAGTCAACACTATCACATTTTCCTTCTCGCTAGCTAGAAAACAATGTTAGAAGTTTGTAACAATATTTCAGATATATTTCGTAAAACTTACTTTCTGCTTGTTCGAAATAAAAAGATCATATTCTAAATTCTAAATAAAATTCTCGTGAAAAATACGTGAAAAACACGTTTGTGATGCACTGTTTGGAAAATCCTACTCTGTGCACCATACGGTCCATTGTCGAATGCAAAATTCGTTGCGGAAACATATAAGCCGAACTTTTCGGGATGTATCTTTCGACGTGAAGTTTGGTGATATTTTCGCGAGAGACGCTGTGTTTCGAAACATTGCACCGTCCAATTTTAGGGAGATTGCCTAACTTCGTCGAAAGTGCATCGCTAACCACCGGGGGGCAAGAGAGAGGCGCAATTTCATTCCGCGATAATCTGATTATCGAAGCGTTCGGGAATGCAGCGTCGGGCGCGTTATGACACGTGACAATGACATCGCGCACGTATAATTCCGCGCGACAAGTAGATACGTAATAACACTCATTGGTTCGCGAAAATTTTTTTTTCTTTTCGTCATACGCGCGCTTGCGTACCGGCCCGTTGGAGATTCGCAGAATTTTAGAAATAACATTCCGCTCCCGCCCAAAATTACGTTCGGCCGATTCGGACAAACGTTTCTATCCGCAGCGCGATCCACTCTGATCCACTCTCTGCGTCTCTTACCGAATGCGAGATTGCGCGCTACCTGCATTGTACACAGCTACGTAATTCGGTCGAAAGTCCAAACAGCGCGGCGTAACGAGCTCTCATGAAAGTAGAATTATCCATATAGAAATTATTACCTTCTCTCGTATCGCGTCGTGAGGAACTTAAGTACTATCGCCCGCATTTGGAATTTGGATGAACTTTTCAGCGCCGAGAGACGTGTTGACCTTAATTGCTTGCTTAAGCTTCTTGCTGATGAAAAATACAGAGAGAGAGAAAGAGAGAGAGAGAGAGAAATAGGAGGAGAGAGAGAGAGAGAGAGAGAAATAGGAGGAGAGAAAGAGAGAGAGAGAGAGAGAGAGAGAGACCTTTGAACCTGACGGCATAAGGTTGTCTCATGAATGATCCATGCGCGATATTACGTGATATCACGATCACTGATTACCATAGCGTATATCTTTCATCCCGCGCTTTCTCATCCCGTCCCTTCGGATATCCAGCCAGCACGGCTGAAATATTGAAGCGCGACGAGAGCGCAAGAAGATTATAGGTATAGCGGTTGTAAACAATTCGCTTCGTCGGCAATAATTTCCGGCAAATTTTTAGAGCTAATTTCAATACGGCGTACGTCGGCTGAGGGAGGACGGGAGCGAAAGAAAAAAAAATGTTGCGCTTCGTAACGAGAGCTCGATGCGACGATTTTAGTAGTCGCGATTTCGCGCTGTCGCGATGCTGGTTTCCTTTGCAAGAAAACTCTCTACTGCTCCACGCTCCCACCTTTTTACCCCTTTCCCCTACCATCCCATTCTCTCAGCTCTTAGCGTGGGGATTGGGGATAGAACGGGAGCGGGTGTTCGTAACAAAAGAGCGGATCGATCGGCTCGCGGAGACGGTTTTCTGATTGCGAACACAACGAGAGACTTTCAGATGAAGTGTAAACGCGAACCAATATACGGATCATAGATATGGAGATCAACAACGGGGAATACATCCCCGCGATAAATTTTCAGATATAGGGATTCGATCGGGATTTGTTGAATTCTGTAATATTCCCGGTTGTGTGTATAGAGATCTGACCTAGTTTTGCGTCTTGAACAGTTTGGCTTTGCCGTGCTTCAAGATAAATATGTCTATTCCAATTTTCGTTAAGGGAGCACGGATATCGCCGTAGCGCTAAAGAAAATATCTGCCTTCAGTGGAAGATTTGTACGTCGTAGTTATGCGAAAAATTAATTCTCCGCCCGAGATAACGCGGATGTGGAATTAATTAAAAGCGAAGTCGCGCGAAGACTCCCGTGATTTCCGTAAGGCGCGATCGGGCGGAGATAGCGCACGTATGAGGGACTGAGGGATATCGCGAGGTTCCACGATACGACGAGACGGCGCGGCGACGACGCGTAATATCCACTCGCGATTTTTCCCGTTTTTTGTTCTATGGGATATCTCGCAGAGAGAGGCCGCTATTATGCTGTCGAATAAAAAGCCGTAACTACCCGACGTTTCAGCCGGATTAAAGAGAAACGAGCCGTCGTTGCTTCCTTCGCTATCGCGTTGAATCCTCTTGCTACTTTTTTACAGAAGCGAAGCGCTTTTTCTCGTGCTCGTCTCTCACCGACGACGCTGACGCGCGCGACGCCGCGATGCATGGGTGCAACACCACACCATCATCACCCACTATCGTCACTACTCGCGTGCGTAAGCAGCTTAGTTTCCGGATCTTCCATCTCTGGATATCGTCGCGGAAAAATCAGACGAGCGTTTGAACTCCTTCAGCGAGCGCGAGTGGAACGCGTTATTGAAACGCGATTGTAATATCTTTATGGAATTTAAATGCGAACGGGACGGTTCTCGGTAATCCCGATCGCACAATGATAGCGTTTAGGATTAGGAATTTGCAACGTTACTTCAATTTATAACTTCAATTTTGCCCGAACTCATGCGAATGAAGAGACCAGTGATTCTTTACGATTGAGGAGCTCAATTTCGACCTCGCATTTGCATTAAAAGTTCCGACGCAACGTTAAAAGTGTAATTCGCAAACAACTGGAATTGAAGTTTCATGTCGGATAAAGTACGGGATCGCACCAAGTTACGAGTAATACATAGATTGCGCAAAGAGGAATGCGTAATACGTCGTACATCACGCAAAAATCGTGCTTATTTTAACGATATTGCGCTTATCCGACAGATTGAGAGCTCTTTCGTCTTGGATCATCGTCGCGGAATTACTTTTATGGTTATATCCTACATCTGTTATTACGCAACGGCGACGACGGCTCGTAACTCTGGACGATGCTCCATCCCGAATGCTTACGATATCGTTCATGGATATGTGGTGAATGAAGAAATAACCATGATTTGCGATTAATTTAAACGCGTGTGCGATTATAAGTTTTACTTATTTAATATGAGAATTATGGTATAAAAAATAAGATATTATATATTCATGGATATATCATGAATAGAAAAATAGTTATAATCTGCGATTAATTTAAACGAGCTTGTTATAAGTTTTATACGTATTTAATATCCGATTTTTATTCAATATAATTATGATATAAAAGAGATATTATCCATGGAAATATCACGAACAGAAAAGTAACTATGATCTGCGATTAATTTAAATGCGTGTGTAATTGTAACTTTTATTTATTTAATATATTTAATATATTTATGTGACGTAAAGAATAAAATTACCGTATATATTAAAAATATTGCATAAGTGTAGCTCTTTTGAGTTTTGAGATAGTTAATATGCTGTATTATATTTATAACAAACTGTATAATAGAAAAAAAACAGCGAATTCTTTTTATTACTTATTATTTAACAATTTCTTTTATAATGTAATTTTAATTGCAAAGTAATCTTGCAAGGATGCTGCATAGCCTATCGGAAACAGTGGACTCGTTGATGGATCTTGAATTCGATCTCTCATCTCACATATGGATTTAAAATTCGAAATAGGATATAGTCTAGATAAGATTGGTAAAAAAATATCCCTTCAGTGTAAGATTGCAATCTGTTAAAAAGGGAATATTTTTATATTTAGTCCTAGTAGTTTAAGTTGAAAAAAACAATGCAGAGCTCGCTTTAGAGTAGAGCCTTTCATTACGAAAAAAAAGAGATAATCTTGCAAATGTGTGATATTTTCTTCTTCATACCGTGAAATTTAGCTATACGTTTCGTATACACGCATCGATCATCTTTCATTTATGTCAGCCATTCGCGAGCGAACGTTATTCTTTGTGATGCGATCACTCGCGGAAAAATTTGATATAGGTAGATTTAATACAATACTCCACGGCAATATACTTCGACACACAGAGAAACGCTGCCGAGTGTCGGTGAATGCGGATCACGTGAAAATAATATTCGGGACATACGGGGCGAGCGCGAAGGGGGATGGGGCGTTCGCGAATTCATCCGGCTGTCGTTTCCCCGATCGAGCAGCGAGCATCCGCCGGCTTTGTGCGTATTCGCGTGCCTCGCGTGAGGAATCTGTCGCTGTGAAGAAGAATGAAAGAATAAAGCGCACTTTTATCTGGGAAATGATGAGAAACCAGGGTGCCTCGGCGGCACAATGGCGAGGCCGATGCTGCATACGAGAAGAAATGAAGCGGGCCGAAGGGATTCGAGATATTGGAAGGACAAGATAAAGCGACGGCGAAAGGAGCTCCTCGAGTAGAGCGAGAGAAAGAGAGAGAGAGAGAGCGAGAGAGAGAGAGAGAGAAACTACTGTAAAGGAATGCAAGTGTAAGGATGCGTTGCATCCTCAATTCCGTAGTGCATTGCAGTCGATTATTTGATTCACGTGAGAGAACCTGCAAGCACCGCGGGAGTGAGGTGGCTTCGTATCGGATCGACGTTCTTCTTGTCTGGCCGCTGCGACATTAATCTAAAGAGGGGACGCGATAATGAAGAGGAGACTCCCAAGTGCCGACGTATATGCGCCTTAGGATCGATTCTTTAATCTGTTCGCACTTAAGACCGCGGTTCAAGATCGACCGTTATCTATAGTCGATGTACAATGGACCGGAATCTGGAGAAGCTGATAGAAACTTTAATTAACTGTTCCACTTTACCAGGGTTTTTAATTTTGCGCATTTGAACCGTCTAGAGAGAGAACCGTAGGAAAGTATCTATTTAAGTAAATCCGATTTCGAATATTTTTATAGTTCGATTGTCCATAAAATTGCAGTTAATGAAATGGGAAAAATTTACGGAAAGAATATTTGTACTACGTGTAGTGCGATAATATAGAACTCGATTAAAGGATATATATATATATATATATATATGTATATAATACATAGCGACCTTCGTATTTTTTTTACTGTACAAGAACGTTGGAAATGCTTCAAAATTGCTGTTAGTTCACGATAACGAGTTCGCGATCTCTCGTTAAGACTTAGATAACGACCTTTTCGCATTAAGAGTAAACTTTAGTGCCTGATATATTCCAGGTCGTTCAAAAAGCTTCCTCATTTCCGAATCTCTGCTAACTTGCTTATGAATTTATTGGTCCCCCGTATCTACCCCACCTCCTTTCCCGACATGTTACATAATCGCGTTATATACGCTGAGTTGGAACGTATGCAATAGAGGCTAGGGCGTAACACGCTTCGTATACGTGCGGAACCAGAATTTCACCTATCGCTTATGATAGAAGATTATACTCCTGCTATTATCGTTCTAAAAATGACATAAAGGATGAAAAAGAAATAATTTTCTTGAAATTTTTACTGACATACAAACGAGTATAGAACATGTAAAATAATATAGCGATTATATAAACATTAACAAAAACTTGGCGAAATATTAACTGTGGGGTGGCTTTCTTGAGAACAGCAAATGGAAAATTATTCTTAATTAATTAAGAAGCCTGCGGGGAATTAGACTTTCAACGAGAATTGTACTACTAAAATTAATTAATACACAGTTTGCAACACTTGGAATGAAACATTGGAGTTCAGTGTTATTCCTAACTAGATTAAAAGAGCGGCAGTAGAAGATCTCAGTGATAATAAATAGCCTAGTGAGTAACTACATTGATGGTGCATCAGTACTTTGCGTTCATAAAAAAAAATCTACTTATTTATAAACTTCCGTGCAACAGCGCGACAAAGATGAGTCGATACCGAGGAAGCAATAAAAGCATCGAGTCGCCCGTAAACGTTTTGAGATACGATCGCAAACAGGCGCGCCGGGTAAAAGCAGGCAGGTTTTCGCAGCTCCCAATGGAAAAATACGCACAGCGGAATCACGAGGATGGTGTGTCTCACGCCCGGGCTCGCCTACTCGTTCACCTACTTAACTTTCTGTCGTCTAGCTTGCGCTATCAGGATCGCAACAGGTGTCTCGCCTTACCATCACTTAGCTCGGCATGATAGTTCGTTCCCGGGATGATTATATTTCGATCGCCGTTGCGCATTACGGGGAATTTGACGTCGCGATTGATAGAGACAGCTGCATTACCTTGCCAAGAGCTGAGAGGTAGTAAGGTTTTATGGAAAACCTCCCTTCAAGATTTACGTGTAAATCGAGATTTTTCGCTCAAGTAGCTAAACGCCTCGTATAATTTGCGGCATTTGAATCGCTCAGAACCACCTTTGCCAAACTGACATTTTATTTATATATGTGAAATATTGAGAATCATGGGTTAGATAACCGCTCATTAATCAAAAATATATGTTATAAAGATATATACGTCGTTATAATTATTTTGAATACGAACATAGATATTCCGCACGTAATCTATTTTTCAATGATTAATAATAGATAATATGTGTATAGATATTGATATTTCTTTTATAAATACTGTCTGTATTTAGTGCTAAATGCAATTAAGTAATTTTTTTCGTAAAACATTAAACACAATCTCTAGCCGATGAAATATTATACAATGTTATCGTGGATTCGTAATTCGTGTTTTATAAACTACTAGCTTATAAAGTCATATAAGCTCTCAGTCACGAGATTCTGTGGAAACCTAAAGTTGCTGTTTAATCGGTTATTTGAGCATTTTTATCTGGCCTATCATGCCTAATCTTTAGAAAAACGCTTAATCGCATTTATGCCTCGTTAAATTACAACAGAATTAGGTTCGTGTGCACACGTTTACTTGATCTTATATTGTTCAACAGAGAATGTATATTAAGATCAGATTGCAATTTTCTAGAGAGAATTGTAAGCTGAGTCAAATAAAATATTTACCGTCGAGAATAATTAAAGAGATTACAAACGCCGTTCAGTCAACGTCATTGTCCGATATGATTATTATGTAATTTAGGCGATGCGAAATTTTGATAATGTGATATAAGTACTTATCTACAAGGTGCTTCAAGAAATGTTAACTTCAAGAACTTATATAAAAGTAATTTTTTTAGAGAAACAGAACTGGTAACACAAAATATCGTAGTAACAAATGTATTTTGTCTCTCCACTTGTTCACCATCATTGCAATGTGCATCTCCGATAGAAAATTGCAAATGTGATTGCAACAATATCCAGAGAAATGTGCCTCAGGGTTCTGGAGACCACTTGGAGAAGAATTTCGAGAACATGTTGACAACGATGGCGAACAAGTGGAGACTATTTGAAGACAAAATATATTTGTTATTGCAATATCTTGTGTTATCAGTACTGTTTCTCTAAAAAAAAAAAAATTACTTCCATATAAGTGTTAACACACTTTTAAAGCACTCTGTGTATATACTCGAAATTCTTCTACGTATTCGTCATATACTCTCGCGTATTCTATATACTCCCTTTTGTATTTGTATTGTATTTATTCGCGCATCGTACTTCGTGTTTGCAGAGAGATATCGTGGTAGAATGTCCTCTAATGTTGCAGGTAGTATTGCGGACTCGCTGCCGGCTCTCCTCCTTATTCATGGCGATTCCTATTCGTGGGGCGCCGGGAATTCATTTGACGGAACCGCCCTAGCCGCTCACGGACGCCTTATTGTCGTCTCCATCAATTTTCGTCTTGGCGTGCTTGGTAAGCTGGCTATATTTATTCAATAAAACAGACCGTCTCGGCCTTATCGGAACGCAGGACACGCCTTGCAATCGTTTGCGATTATTTTATTCGACTACGTTCGCGTGTGTCCGTAATCATTTGCGAGAAAACGAAGCACCGAATCTTTTAAAAAATGCATTGCTCGTCGCTTTGTCTCAAAATAAGAAAAAAGGAAAAGAAATTTTCCCTTATTCGTCATTTATAAAAATGTATTTCTGAGCCAGCGGTAATAACAACAATGGAATAAAATAATTTAAAACTGACATAGAACGAAACGTGTTCCGCTGCAAAGAATCGTACGATTGAAACAATTATTTTCTTGGGTAACGAGCATTTATTTCGATAACTGACGATTTGACACTTCGATCAAATACGTAATAAATGGCACGTTGTGTGGCAAGAAATTATTGTCTCGGGCATAACAACGACGGACAATACAATAATCGGGCATTCGCATTATTATTTCGTACGCGAGAGCTGATAGAAAGTTTCCGCGTTATAAAATGCGCCGAGCTTACCACGCTTTGTTTATTACACAGCGCGACTAGCTCTTTTGTTCTTTCGACGGAGTTAACGGAATGATCTCATTATTCGTGGCAGCTAGGAGGAAAAGTTTGTCGAGATCTTACCAGATTACTTTCCGTGCAGTTATATATGGAAATTCTCCTCCGGGGGGTTGTTACTTTTGCGATAGTTCGGACTCTTTAAAAACACGACATCAACTCTCGGATATATAGGTAACAGGACGAAAATGCAAGATGCAGGATGCGTTTTCGCGCGCGCGCGTGCGCGAGAAAAAGATATAGTGAGGGGGGGGGGAGATAATCGCGTGTGCGTGTGCCAAAATTAAAAACGAACAAAGGGGGAAGAGACAAAGGGAGTTTAATGAGGACGAAGAAGAGGACACGCGCGTAAGGCTAAGGGTGTTTTCGCGCGAATGGATTTTCACGCGCTCGTTTGTCGTACGACCGGCTTTTGAGCATCCGCTAAATATCGTACGCATAATTTAAGTTGGAGTACTGCGGGGAACGGCTACGTGAAGTGGAGTCGATATTCGCGTAACGCGAGGAGTCGGAAACGGATCCCGTTTCGCTGTGCGATTTTATATATTATTTCTGGATAAATATCAATTTTTATTTAGTTAATTCAGTAAAATGGATTTTATCTGGGCATCGGTCTCTCTTGCCCACGCTGACAAAGACAAGGCTGTAATTTCACGTTAATTAAAAATGTGTTATGCCTTCCATAACGGCGATTCCATGGTTTTCACGTCACGCTTTATTATCGCAAACGCATCCACTACGGTGTAATCTGTATATTTATTTTTCCGCGCTATTTGCAGCGGCGATGTTTAAAGGTTCGAGTGCACCTAATCGTGGATAAAACGATAAACAACGTATTATTCGGCGGGTATGCAAGCGTGTTTACAACAACGTATCCTCCATTCATGAAAGAAGCCCCGGGGCAGTCAACGGAACAATTTTCGATATCGATACGCCGTATTTTCACCATACCGGGGGCTGGTTTCGCGCTTCTCTTTGTCGGTATGCTGCAGTTCCGCATGCGTTTTGTTCATCGTTGAAACGAAACAATGCCTGCGGCGTTATCCAATACCGCATGGCCGACCGATTCGATTTTCTTCCGTCTTTTTTCTTGTTACCTCACTTATTACTCGTGTTCTTTCACTGGGTTTCGCGCCATTTATGTGGTTTTCACGCCACTTACGACATAAATAAATTCGACATAAATAAATTTCCGATCGGACCATCACGTTAATATTAAGTGCATTTTTCATCGCGTAGCGCGCAGCGTTTCGCGTTGCCGCATTCTCTGCGGAACAAACCTCGACAGGTGAGAGTAAAAATGAACAGATACATGATAATTATCGCGAAATATTTGTCCTCGTATTTTTGCGCGAAAGAAATATCTTTTTATATATGAATAGTAGCAAAACATTTATTCCATATCACTCGTACGAGTCATTACTCTATGATATTTTTCTGTGCTAAATACGAGCGTAATTAGAAGTTGGCACAAATGCTGCGCGGCAGATATGTGAATGTGATTAAAAGGCGAATCGGATTGAAATGGAAAACTCCCCTCGCAGGCAGATGGCGAGGCAAAGTGACAAGCCCGTAGGTGAGTCGGTGCAGTAAATTGAAGCGGGCGGGGATTGAGTACCGACGAGCAAATATTTAATTTTAATCCGGTTTATTCTTCGAGTTCAGCCGTTCTCTCGTCGCTTACAATAGCTACGTTTGCACACGCACGCGTGTGGGAATCTCGACTTTCCCCCGCAACGATAACCAACTTAGCGATAATTATAATTAACTCTGACGATCCCTTCTGCTAAAGCAGGTACTAAAAGTGAGCGTACTCGAGTTTAGCAAAACTTTACGATTAACATAACAGAGTTTTGATCGTCCGGTTTGCGCGTAAGAAGAACGAGGCGCGGTGAGAGAAGCGGAGGAAGAAGAAGCCTCCTTGAGACAGGGAGTAGAATCGTGCTCCCGGAAATGTCTGAATGGATTTTCTAGATAAGTTCTCTCTTTCCCGGCGACAACTTCCGCTTCTCGTCCTCGAAATAACAAAAGTACAGTGTGTTACGAAGCTCGACGCGCAATTCCGCTCGTGCTTTCGTGGAAGCTCTTAGGGAATTAACGGCGTCGAATATTCAAACCGTCCTCGCCGATCCGTTCGGCCGGGCGTAAATGAGCCGGCTTCCTAATTCGAGCACGTTGAAACGGCAGGCTTCCTGAAGACCGGATCGAAAGGGAGCGCGCAGGGCAATTACGGATTGATGGATCTGGTGGCGGGGCTCCATTGGCTGCGCGAAAATCTCGGGGCTTTCGGCGGCGATCCTGAGCGACTGGCGTTGCTGGGCCACGGCACCGGGGCGGCTCTCGCCAATTTTTTAGCCGTCTCCCCTATGGCGAAAGGTAAGGCGTTTAATCGTTTCGCGGCTTGCGGCCGATCGGTTGCGCCCCACGTTTGTCGGTCAACCCACCTGGTTTAACGTGCCGTCGCGTGTCGGTCGGATTTACCGCTGACGTGTCCGTTTTGTATAGGAGCCGATGGAAAAGCGCCACGAATTTGTTTACGTTTCCTTTTTTTGACAATGTCCACACGGACCGTTTTATTTATTTGCCAGTTTTTTTATATGCGTTTTATTTGCCGCGTTATTTTTTTTTTATTTTATGCTCCTGAGAAAACATTGATAACGTTCTTTTCGCTTATTTGTGTGATAGATGGAATTACACTGATTAAGCTGCAGAGCTCTTGCATTATAGTCCGGCTTACGAAGGAAGAAGATTGATTTAATCACGTCTAACGCTGATTGATATCGGTATAACCGTCCATAGAGAAACATGCTAATTTATCGATGGTCTCAGTGTAATAGTGTCCATAAGCTTCCTAGTAAAAAGGACTTAAATAAAATTCGAACGAGAGAAAGAAGCTTTTAGACAATATCGCGAAATAATAAGAGGAGGATGATTTTCTGTTTACGAGGATATCGGATTTTCGAATAATAAAACGTCAATAACGTATTACTATAGCCGTGGAATAATTAAAGATTTATCGGACATTCCTTGCATTTTATTAGCCGTATCGCAATTATAGCAAGGGAGTTTTTTCCAACGGATATTCCAGCGCTGATCGGGAGGGTGATTCTGCTCGGCGGTTCGGCCCTCTCGTCGTGGGCGGTGCAGCGAGATCCGCTGGCGGTGAAGCGCCGCGTCGCCGAGCAGATAGGATGTCCCGGTGACGTCGAGGCCGACGATATCGCACCGTGCCTTCGTTTGAAGAGCGTGGAGGAGCTACTGGCGGTGCAGCTGGATCCGCCAAGATTCACTTCCGGATTTGCGCCCTTCGTTGACGGGGCTGTTCTGCCACCGACAGTCAATCAGGTGAGACGATTCGCCCCCGATAATCGATAATCTCGGGACTGAAGAACGGTAACGCGCCGTTTCCACCTGCTTTACGATCCGCTCTGCCCGATTGCTTCGGTTTTACTGCGCCGTTAACTGTAATACGGCATTAATTAATCTTAATTGCGGTTTAATCGATTGTGTTTGTCCGTTCCTCGGACTTGGAATTTAGAGAGACAGACGGAGAGAGAGAGAGAGATCTACTTAAACCGGAGATTAAAGTTGCGGAAGGTCTTGGCGAAAACTTTTATAAATATTACGTTGGCACTTTTTAACGGTTTTTGTGAATGACACGTTTGTTATCTGTTGTTTGTTGGGGACGTCCGGCGCGTAGCGGTTCGGCTTCGTTTTTGACGTTTGAACCATTTTTCATAAAATTTGCATTTACATCCTCCAGCTTTCTCGCGGAGTATATGCGCGTGCTGTCCCGTGTCCGCCGTTTAAACGTAGATTACGCGTGAAATATCCACCGCGTTGTAAATAAATATAACGGCCGGATGTTAAATAAACATGGGGCCGCGACACGCGTTTCATCCGGGCGATTACGGAATTCGCGAATGTTGTAATTGCGTACGGATATTAACCCAATACCGACGGACGACCGGCGTATTGATTTTGCGCAGGAGCGAACGAGACGACATCAGGTAAACGATGAATCTGCTAATTGAACGGGCGGCCGACTGACGGATGACGGATCCGAGAATCGTAATAGCTACTTCGTGCATGCTCCATTAACTCATTCGTTGATAGAGTCCCTGGTTGATCGCGCTCCGCGCGATATCGCGACATTAAACGGGGAATTCGGGAGAGGATGAACAAACGTGCATGTACTATCGCAGCTGCGATTTATTACAAAGCAGTCAAGTCTCTCCTTGTGCCGTCTCCGCTGTAAAATGTACGGCGGCTCAATTTATGCGACGTTAAATAGAAATTACAAGCTATACGTTTACGTGCGCAGAGGGATGTGCCTGAGTGACAGAGATTTATCTAACAATGGTAGGAAAGCGAGAGCGAATAGAGAAGATTGAGAATCTTTAATACGCGTGATTATTCCGAAACACAATAAGGAAAATTCGTTTGTTCAGAATTTCCAGCCCACTGCCTCTTCTTCGGGACTAATGCCAATCGTGCCCGGGCCCGGCGCTGAATTCGCGGACTTCGGCGACCGTGATTTACTCTTTGGTTTGACGTCCGAGGAAGCTTGGGTGAATCTCACCGAGGAAGATTTACAGGTAAGTGGGATTCGTGGTGACCCGAGAATAAAATATACGTAAAGAAATATATTAATTACGTATATCGTATTCTTTTTGTTCTTAATCTTCCGGTTCTTTTAAAAACCCGGTATTACAATACATATTTCATAACGTCTCTGTTAAAAGAATGAAGAAATGCGGGATATATTAATTATACCCTATTCTTTTTTGTTCTTGATCTTTCGGTTCTTTTAAAAACCGGACTCCGGACAATTCTGTGCTTCGTAATGTCTTCGTTAAAAGAATAAAAAGGTTTCAAACTTTTTAATCTGTTTTTCTCTGCTGCTATTATTGGTGATATACCTTTATTTTTATATCGATTTTATCAAGAAATTTATATTAGAGCGGAAGTAATTCCCTGATTAATGACCGGACACTTCGTGCATAATATGTAATTGACATCGATTGGATATAGTTTGACAAATTGACGAGCTTTACATGATTGCATCACAAGCCTGCGCTCGCCAATCATTCCGGATATTATTGACTCTCCGATGGTCACGGCCACTGGCCATCGCGCTATAATAGCATGCGTCTGCTTTACGATCCTGATCGAATTAATAATCCATATTATACGCAGATGTATCGGCGGAAACGTCATTCGATTACTTTGTACATGTAATCCGGCGATCATCCAAATGTTCGACGATACAAAATTGGCGTCGGGAGATTATTTTACAAACTGCAATAAATTCACGAACTGTTGCGCTTTCCGCGTCGTGAAAACCCAACGAAAACTCTTGCCGATTTGCAGAACGGCTTGAACGAGACGAGGAGGGACCGTATATTACGCACTTACGTCCGTAACACCTATCGTTACCACTTGCACGAAATCTATTCGACTCTTCGGAACGAGTACACCGACTGGGAGCGGGGCGAGCAGAGTCCCGTGGCGATTTGCGAGGGTCTCTTATCTCTCCTCGGAGACGGCCAAGTCGCCGCCCCGCTCCTCAGACTGGCCTTACTGCATTCGGCCTCGGAGGGACGCGGCTATTTCCTGCACTTCCAGCCGGGCGAGCTACCGAGCCAGAGGGGCGAGGAGGTGCCGTATCTCCTGGGTATACCTCTTCTGCGCGGCGAAGTCACGTCCGCGCTGCCCGCCTCTGCCAACTACACCCCGGCCGACGAGAATCTGTCGAAACTGCTCGTACACTACCTGACCAACTTTGTGAGGCGCGGGTAAGTCCTTGCCGCTTCTCTTTCACCCGGCGATAAAATTAATGTTTGACTACGTCCATGCATTAAAAACGAGTTTAGAACAAAAATTAAAATTTTACCCCGCAACAAACAGGAGTACGTTGCAGATCTTTCACATTTTTCGGACTTAATTGACGAATATTTTCGAGAGTATCGCGAGAAGTTAACTGTACTGTTTAACTAGCGCACTGTCTTGGGTGAAACATACGATCGGCATTAATCGGCGACACTACAACGTGAAATAACTGGCGCATAGGTGCGAAAGGGTTAATCGGATAAGTGAACCTCCTCGTTAATTCACCCGGTTCAAAGTTCTTTGGAACTTAAGCATCGCATACACTTCGATTACTCTCCGTGAGGGGAGTCTAAAGGTTGGCGGTGGTAGTAAGGGTAAAGTTACAGCTGCGAGAGGATTTTGGAACCAAACTCCCGCAAAGGCCGTTAACGCGCTCAGCGAAAGCTCGCAATCTCGAAGTAGAGTAGACTTGTTAGTGGCGAAGACGCGAAGTGATTTTGGCATCTCTAATTGCGAATCGGCGGCTATCTGGATGATTACTCTGTCATCGACACGACGAATTTTCGCAACACAATTTTGCCTCTAGTGAATTATCGCACACAGAGACGCACGAGATCGCTTCGGACCTTATTGAAATTTAGCTTCCAATTTCCAAAAGCATTTCGAACAATTTGCTGCATATTGTAAAATTATAACAATATTCATTTAATTATTTGAAATAAACAATGATATTGCTACAATCAATTATACAAAAAAATAAACTATGGATAAACTGCCCCCGTCTTATTTATGTATTTTTCGATGTAAATAACTTCAAAATAACTCCAGAATAAAGATATACCTACATATATTCTTTAAATGGATTTTTACCGATGGGAAAGATGATGGCGTAAATTATATTTAATTTCGTGCTTCCTGATATTAAACATTTAGCGATCCAATAAAATAAGAGCGCAACGTGATTCGCAGATTTCCGTCCATTTGTGAAAGAATCGCGATTCGCTCGTTGTTTTAGGGACCCGAATGGCGTGAGTCCCTTGTCCACGGCACTGGATAACGGCCTGACGACAAGCCCACCGTTCTGGGACTCGTACGATTCCATAAATCAGCTGTACTTGGAGGCCGCTCACAGCCCGGAGATGCGCTCGCATTACAGAGGCCACAAGATGTCCCTCTGGCTGAATCTGCTGCCGCAGCTGCACCGGCCGGGCTACGAGATCAACATGCGGCACCATCATCTTGCGGAGAACCCCGGCCTCTACGAGGGCCCGGTGCGTCCGCAGAGCACGGCCGTACCTCTACCGGCGCCCCCGTTACCCATGCCATCTCCCACGGAACCCTCCTCGATACTGACCGCGCTGTCGACCACGGAATGTACTCCGAACGCGACCGTCGCGACGACCATCACGCCCACCACCTCGCGAACGTTGCAGATCTCGAATCTGGGCCCGGGCCCCAACAATCTTCTGCGCAAGCTCGCGTCCAGCCACTACCAGAGTTACACCACGGCCCTCACGGTTACCATCGCGGTAGGCGTGTTCCTATTGCTGCTCAACATCCTGATTTTCGCGGGGATCTACCATCAGCGCGACCGGAACACGACCGGCGGCGGTCTGTCGGGCGCTTTCAGCAACAAGAAGAAAGAGGAGTTTCTGGAGGCTGGCTGCTCCGGTATTGACACCTCAGGTTCAGGCAAGCAGCGACTGCCGCCTTCCATGACCCTGATGGACTCGCCGTCGTCGATGCTGCCGCCGCACAAGGCAAAGCTCGTGCAGGAGCTCGAGCTGCAGCTGCAGGAGTTCCAATGCTCTCCGCCGCCCGGCGGCGGCAAGCGAATTCTGGAACCGCCGTCCTACAGCAAGAGCCCGTGCATCCAGCGGACCCGCACGCCGTCGCCCTGCGTCGACGCCACTATCGCCCAGATGGACGAGGTTAACGACATCAGCGGCCTTCACCACGACAGCGAAGACGAGAACGAGGAACTGCCGGAACCGCCGCCCCCGCCCAAGGCCCCGGCGCCGAACGTCGGTCTCACGTGCCCCGGGATTCTACGGCAGCCCGGGACACCCGGTAGCGCGAAGAAGCGCGTGCAGATTCAAGAGATCTCCGTGTGATAGGGTGCGAGGGATATCGGTCTCTCGAGATATTTGATGTTGGAGGACGCGTTCTCGCCGTGAACGAGCGCGCAACGAGAGGACGGGGCGCCGATCGAGATCAAGTGTAGGCGAGGAACGCCTTTGAACTCTTGATTATTATCGGGGATACACTTCCCGAGGCGCGAGTGGCCTCGCTCTCTCAGTCACGCTCTTCTCAGTCGCTTCTGTCGAAGCGATTTTCGTTCCTCTCACGAGATTTTTGTTTCCCTGTATTATTACCGTTTGAGAATAAATAGCACGTTCTAGCGCTCGCGTGTTCGTCACGTCGGTTAACTCGTGTGAGATGAGAGCGCGATCACTTTCGCGTTAAAGCGAAGGTGAACGTTTGACGGCCGTGTTAATAAATTCTCTTCTCGAAATCTTGCTCCTAGAACTTATTACAGACTGCTAAAGTCTACTACTACAGAAACGCGTTCAAGCTTACGATCCTTGTATCTCCGAGTGATCCTCGTCAGGAATGGATGCCGACGTGTGCGTAGCTTTTTCGCGACTGAAGAAAGTGAAACATAATTTTTACTCGCTCCGAACGGAGTTGTACAGTGCCGTGTGTGTCCCCACGTGCAGATCAGCAGCGTTTGAAAGTGTGCTTTATTTCGAGGGATTTTCTTACCGAGCCGCGATCCACGTTCATGTAACGCAATTTGATGAACGCGCAAACGGGCACGTAAACACGTAAGAGAACACACAGGAGGTTCGTAGTGGTCCCTTTGTACCCGAGACGTGAATCTTCGTCCGTCCATTAGGGACGACAACGTCTGGCGTTTGAAATTCACCGGATCGGCCGACCCTTGGTCGGCTTCACTGACTCTTCAGCCGGGTCCGATCCGGCGGTCGTTGCGCGACGCGGTGTCGCATAAACGGGGGGATTGACGTAATCTCAGGAATAAAAAGAATGCAAAAGACATCTTCGTGGCAGGCATACACGGTGTCCGTCATGGTGCTCGGGCTAACTCAGGCCCGAATCTTGCCACAACACTAAATGGAATTAATCGAGGAATTGGTAGTCTTGGGCTTCGACTTCTAGGTTCATAAGACGACGAGAACGACTAGCTTACTGATATGTGTGTTCGTGCGAGAGAACGTGCGTGAGACATGGACGAGAGGGATGGAAAGAATGGAAAGAAAAGGGTAAAAAGAAGGAAGGGATGTGGGGAAAGAGTGGTAAAAGGGGAACTCTGTAAGATGCTGGCTTTCGTTAGTAGTAATTGGGCGTGTGTGTGAAACTTTGTGTAAGGAATTAGAACATGTTTGACACGAGATAGGGCTAAACGGTTTAACGGCAACGGGGAGTACTTAAGAGGATACAGGTGATTCTCCGGTATTTATTTTAAAAGTTGTCGTGTAACGTGAAATTTTCGGAAAGAATTCGATACGCGAAGTTTTATCGTTCCATTGAAGGCGACTGCGTTATACACTCGAGACATCTTTACGATGTATAACATTTGTCAGAAAGTATCGTGTTATGAGTTTTCTTTGACTTTAATAGTCACCTCGGAAGGAGGGGAGTAAAGTTGCGTTGTTTCAGAAAGTTATAAATTTGCTACTAACTTTTTGATGGCCGCTATAAAGAAAAGTGTTTAAATAAGAGTTCCTATATGTTCGACCAATTGGAAATGATCCGCGCATAAACGCCATAAATTACATTGGTGGTACGTCAACTTGATTCCGTATTCGGTTAAAGCTGATCTATTTCTATTACGTCTTTATTTCCTTTAATTTATTTGCTTTTATCTATTCTTTTCTTTTAAAAAAATTTGTAATTACTATTTGCATTCAGTTCCTTGATAGTAATGACGGAATTTCATACAAGTTGAAAGTTGGAAATCGTTGAGAGTCACCTGTATATTATAAATTTTCATGCAATATTGGAAATATGGTAGTTGGAAAGTGAAAAGTGTATTTGGGTCCATTTTAATTTTTATATTTTCCTTCGGGGTGCTAAGACGTGTCGATCGACTACTAATATACGATTAATACTTTAAACCTGGTCGGATCTGTTCAATACTGTCGACAGGAGCTATTTATTACATCAATGATTAAAATTGTTTATTATAAAATGACCTAAGATGGCACCAAAATGTATATTTAGCTTGTTTTACGGAGGCGTTTAGGATCAAAATTTACCAAGTCTATGAGATATACTTTAAGAATGAAAAATTAGATATCGTTGCAAAATTCCCCGAAGAAATTGTTATTGAAATATAAGTCGGACATTTTATATGTAAAATAAATATATATATATATATATACAAACTCTTCGGAGGCTAGGCAAGTTTTGATCTTGGTTCGTCTCGTCACACAACGCTCTTCGACGACATGTAATTGGAAAGACGGCAAGAATTGAATCTTGACTTGACAGCCCCAAGAAACAAGTCTGTCGCAAGAGTGTCAGAGTAGAGAGACGAGCGAGCGCTGTCGTCGTAAAGCACCCCTACGATCGTAAGACTTCGAGTAAATGAGGAAGAGAAACCGCGCGAGGGGCCACCGTAAGTAACCTAATTCCTAATTAACCTAGTCACGGGGAAACTTGCCATAATTGATTCGATTGCACTCGCGTGTGTTATCATTTACCGGCAGGATGCTGCCGATGTTAAGATATATCGCCAAACATGGGGGAATTGAAGAGGTATATCGCGTTATACAAAATCGGGGTGCTGTTTGATCGATCCGCGAAACGCTGGGGTAATAAACAGTCGTTCGTCGAATTTGGATACGATCGTCAAGTTAGCTTCATTTGCATGGTAATTAACTCGGAGGAGGCTTATTGTCATTTGCGCGACTAAGATTGAGCCCCGTGAGAGCTCTTTACTGTCACCGTTCCTTTCGTCTGCAGATTCTTCAGTCAATTAAAAACTAGCTTCTTTTCTTGACAGGAATATTGGGAATTTAACTCTTTATAATGGCATGTAATTGGGATCTACATTACGCGTATCTACATATTTTTTAAAGTGTTATTTTATCACTTCACCTCTACATCATTGCGCGAATTTTCATGCTCAATAAAAATATACATATACATATACAAGTTTTGTATACTATATTGTTATTATGAATTCCGAGTTACATATCGTTCTCTTATAAATGAATATTTTTTAATTAATATCCCGCGATCAATGTTTTCCATTTACCGGTTGTGCAATTTTTTTTCATGAGCAAACAATGTTATAGGGAGTTAAATCATTCTTGAGTTAAAAACGATCGAAAATGAGTGATTTTTTGTGAAATCTAGAAGATGCTAATTTGAAAAGCGTTAATAATGCAGAAAATTTTACTCTTCAGCATATTTTAAAAATTACAAAAAAAATTTGAAAACGTTTAATTAAGATTTTTTGCAAGAAAGAATCGACCGCGATTTAATTAGAGGATCCGTAGATGAAAGAAATGGCACTTACTTGTGCACGACAGTGGATATACATACAGAATTAATGAAAAGAAGGACACTATGGACATAACATAGATAGCCGAGGGCAAACTGACATGCTGCCACAATCTATCTTGTGTCTATAGAAAGCGCACAGATACAAAAGACACACTCATACGTATATACAACTATCAATGTTTGGAATGTTGGGATTTGTTTAAATAAATACTTAAAGATTCAAAGCGTAACTCTCTGATGGCGTTCTAATTTTGCGTGTGTCCTATGTCTTCCCTAGCTCGCCTCCTTAGCCTTGCAAGTTAAGAATTGCATCTGTAATCTTTATTACTTATTGCAGTAATTAAATGCGGTACAAACAATATCTCACTGGCTAATTCGAAGTATCGTTCTTCAAGAGAATCCAGATTGATTGGAAAATAGCAATGCACTTACAATATTATCTTTAGAAATTTTCCGAGTTTTTTTTATTCGTCAAACGTACCCTGTCATTCGAGAAAGACTATAAAATACTTCAAGGATATTAAACGCACGCGCAGCTGTTAAGGAGACAACGGTATATAGTAACCTTTAGGGGGGGAGAGAGAGAGAGAGAGAGAGAGAAGCGGACATGAAACAAAGTAGGAAGATCGAGGATTAGAGTGCACAACCGCCCCTTTCTCACGCCTAGCGCACTCGTATTGACGTCTCGCGGTTTTCTTCCCTGCGCGCGCGAGTGGGGTGGCCGAAGCTGGAGATTTAATAGGGTGCTTTCCGCCTCTCGTGAAGCCGCGCAACGAGATCCGCCGCGGGCTGAAGTATAATTAGTCATGCTATACAATACCACAGTGGCATAGACCGAATACATAACTATATATATTTATATTATATATATGTATATACTCGTCGCATACTGTGTGTATGTGAGTGTACGAGCGCAACCGGTGCCGCTAGGGATGCGCGGGAATGTTTGGTAATTGGCGATACGGCGAGACACGAGGAATACCTTGAATCAATCCTGCGGAACACGACGGAGGAAAAATTTCGGACTTTCTAAGTTTTATTAAATCACGTTTTCATTTAAAAGTACTTAATGAAAAGCAATTTAATTTTCTTTTGACGTTGACTCAGTAAAAAAGCGGTCGCATTTATTTGATCACGGTATATTGTCGCTAGGGATGCGCGGGAATGTTTGGTAATTGGCGATACGGCGAGACACGAGGAATACCTTGAATCAATCCTGCGGAACACGACGGAGGAAAAATTTCGGAATTTCTAAGTTTTATTAAATCACGTTTTCATTTAAAAGTACTTAATGAAAAGCAATTTAATTTTCTTTTGACGTTGACTCAGTAAAAAAGCGGTCGCATTTATTTGATCACGGTATATTGTCGCGTCAAGGACTTAACGGCGCGCACTCGTGTTAAATGCAATTTCGGTGAAAAATGGATCAAGTGTACGCTGTGGATCTGTATAACTTTTGCTGTTATATAAGTGTCAGCTTGATATTGATATTGATATCGATATCGATATCGATGTTGGCACCTGCACATGACACTGAAATTCATCATTTCTCTCATTTATTAATAAAGATCTTAAACTCCGAAATCGGTCTATTGAAAAATTCAATGGATTGCGTTCTGATGCGCTCTTTAACGCATTAGAAACAATATTTCGACTACGCATTTTGAATTATTCCTTTTTCCGAAGACCGTCTTATTTATGTAAGGGATTATGTTAGATTATCCTCTGTGGAGGAAAAAATGTTTCGTAACAAGATTGAACCAGCTCGTCCGTCGCAATTTTTTTTACGGAAGAGCGAACGTTTTTATCATCAACTCAAATTGGTATGGATACGGCAGGTTGTCTTAATCGGTTTAGCTATTTGATCGTTACAGCTGACACGTACACCTGCGTGCACGCGACCTTTTACATTTTTTGTCAAACGCGATGATCCGAGAGGATTCCTTTTTTTTCCCCACGCAGTTTCAGAGATAGCGTAAGCTCGTTACACTTTGCACGGCGCGCGATTCCCTTCGGCCGCGTTCAGAACGAAGGCATAAATACGTCTTTTCCTTTATGAAGCGGCAAAGTAACGTGATCTTTCATTTAACGAGCGTTGCGCTATCTCGCCGGGTCCGCGGCATCAATGAGTACCGCGTGGGTGAAACGATTAAATCATTCCGGCCGACGCGACGGGTCGGGTGGAGAAATCATTAAGTGAGAAAAATAATCGGGACGCGCGCGTGGAAGAAGAGCGGCCGTGCAACACGACACGAGTATTTAGAGCAGAAAGGATAGCGGAACCCTAGATTCTTGTTTCCCGCAGGCGAATGTGGGTTATCGCGGTTTATAGACGTCGGGCCGGCGCGGCGCTAATTAATAATCCGATGCTATTTTTACGCAGCAGCCGTTGCGACTAAATGGCAGCCGCGAGTTAATCCCGGTTGAAAGAAAATCGATAAGGTCGTAATGCGGCGGCGTTACGCGTAAAAGCGGCGCGGGGCTTTAAGTAGACAGAGGCGTTAAAATGAGGTGTCCGTTTACTTACTTCCGGCGGGACGTCGGCGCGTCGCGTCGGCGAGAGAAAAGCCTGATCTCTCCTCGGCCGAACTTACTTTTGTAATAACAAAAGTTAAACACAAAACTGAGAGAAAACAGGAGCAGGCGCGTCAGACGTGGCACGTACCGATTGATTTTCCAACAAATCGCATTGAATTGGATTCGCTCTTCTGTCGAGGGAGAGATAAAATAAAATAAAAGCAACGATGTGTAGAACAAAGGCGCTATATGTCAGAAATGAAAGACTTGAAGCTCTCCATGTTTATCGTGTCTTCTCTTTGATTTTGAGCTACGGAGTGAATTTAATGTCCCAATTACCATTTCTCTGTATAATTCACCGTAATATATTACATACAGATATTTCCTTTTTACGCCCTCTCGTTTGTCTCTCCTTTAGACCTTTGTACATTAATGCAGTCGCCCGCTGTCTATATTCGTTTAGAGATACAACCGATGTCGTCGGTAGACTTGCTCCGTCGGGCGACGAGCGGGGTGGGGGTGGGGCGAGAGGGTGGGCACGTTTTGTACATGAAATACAGTGCGGCGCGATAAATGGGTGCTGACACTGCTGACACGATGCTTCACTACAGAGACGTGCCCTTTTACTGTGAACCTAGCTTTATTCTCCCCGTGCTTTAAAGCGACTTAGGTATAGGTCATGCTACCGCGGAAGTTGCCTCGCTTTTGTTTGCACCTTGACACCCGACCGGTTGTCAACGTCAGTAACCATTTTCCATTCTTTAAGAAATCGATAGGAGCTATAAGCTCGCCCTTAACATTCGCCGTTATATAAGCCGTAATTCACGCTACGGCGAGTCAGTCGTTCACTCGCTGCCAGATGGACTTGAACTCGTAACTACCTTGCGAAGTGTATACGTTTAACGTTTCGCCGGCCTTGTAATTTCAATGACAGCAATGTCGAAGGGTTGCCAAACACGCGAGATACTTGAAACGCCTATGCGTTTAGAGTCTACCCGGCAAATTGGACTTCCAGCCGTAAGTTGAAGCAGTTGAAACGACAAGAGAGCTGATGTGGAGACGTTGATGCACAGGTGACTGACTCGTGGCTTCGACTGCTCGATCCATCTCACAAAGGTGCGTAATAGCGCTATTTATTATTTATAATCGTGAGCGGCGTGGCCATGCTGAATTGCATATTTCGCAGGTCGAAGGGATTTTAATATTTGATAGACCGTGTATGAGCGCCGTTCTCGCGCTGGGTGGAATAGCATGGTGCAAGTCAGTAAAAACAAAAGTTCGACATTCCGTTGGAACGGCATAAAATGTTGAAATGTTTACTTTATAGAATCGTGAAAACGCCATCGTGGCCAAGTGATTGAATTCTACGACGGATACTTTTGCAAGGTTTCCCAAAATGAGAAAAATTATATTTATACTCCTGAGAAAAGGAAATTATTTATTTTGCTAAAGGCAAATCTCAAGTTTTATTTCAAGTTATTTTAAAAATGTTAAGTATTGGCTGCTTTTATCGATGTCTTTATTTATTATTTTATACTTTCGAAATAAGTGAACTTTTAAATTAGCAACTGATTACTCTTGAAGATTCATAAATTACAATAAATGAAAAACAATTAGATTAACTTATATATCATTTAATTCAGCATACTATTATTAGATATGTTATTTTTTTAGATAACGAGATTTCTGTATGTGTGTGTGTATAATGAAAATATTTTATATAAATTTAAGTATAGCACTTTTTGGTAAAAAATATTTCGAGAAGTGTACATAAAATTTACGCGAAAATATTTATATATTTACTTGGATTAAAATATTTCGAATATCATATAAGACTTCGAATATACGGCATATTACAAAGTATTAGCTGAATTCTGTAGAGAGATTCTGTATTATTCATTAGATCAATTGAATGCTAATTCTGTTCGAACGTAATTGCGTCCATTCATATCGATCTGCAAGGGTATGGACTAGCGGTTCGCCAGCTATGTCTGCACATATAATTCTACCTAATTAGCCCCTGTGAGTGAGCGTATCGGTCAACGCGGAGTTTCAAGGGTGCTTTTTGTAGATTTATATTTTTATAGATCTACACCCAGCACGTGCTATACGTTCGATCACTATAAAAAAAAACAGCCCATACAGCACACTTGTTCAAAAGCGGGACATAAGACGTCTAAAAGACATCTTTTAGACATATTTTAAGCGTTTTACTGAAAGATGGCTAAAAGACGTCTTATGTCCCGATTTTGGACATGGTGCTGTGTGGGAGAATGTTACACGTAAAGGAGAACCATCGCGCCGACATAAATACGAAATGAAGCAGATAGGCTATATAAAGATGCAAACCGCAAGAATACTTTTAAGTCTTCGTGAGGGTTTGAAAAAGTACGAGCTATACAGATCCTATAATTAAACAGAACTAAACACACCTAACTCCACAGAGACCCAGTTGCGAGACGTTGATACTCGAAGCAGACCTTACCGATTCGCTTTATCCGAATTAGCGTTTCGACTATTCAATTATTCGAATTTCACCGCGCAGCGTCGCGACGGGGCATCCTCCGAAAATTGGAATATTTTGGGCGCATCTGGGATTCGCTCCACAATCTCTCGGGTCGCAAGTGGTAGCGGAAATAATGTCAAACGCAATTACGCGATGCGTCGCGGTCGTAAGGCGCCGAGAGCACGCGAAAAGACAGGAGCATCGAGA